GCCTGTAGTCCCAGCTACTCAGGAGGCTGAGGCAAGAGAATCGTCTAAGCCCAGGAGTTAGAGGTTGCTGTGAGCTGTGTGACACAACGGCACTCTACCAAGGGCGATAAAGTGAGACTCTGTCTCAAAAAAAAAAATAAGCTCAGAGCTGAGCCCAAGGCTCCAGCCCCTGACTGCTGTGACTCTGTTCCCTGGTCTTTAGCCTCTCTGGCCTCTGTTCCCTGGTCTATAAAGTGGGGGTGATTGTAGTGCCTGCCTCATAGCGCTGCCCCAAAAAGTGAGTCTTTCTGTGTAAAACCTCTTGGGCACTAGTGCTCAGTGAGTCTGAGTGTGGACAGAGCCCTGGAGCTGGGGGCCCTGTCAGTTGTGTGTGGGGCCTGGCAGTTGGGGAGCCTGCTCATACCTGCAAAACCCCCACTGGCCTTTTCTTTTGACCTGGTACTTCTCCATCCACCCCTTCTCTTTGTCCCTCCTTTGTCCCTTCCCTGTTGGAGGTCTCTTGCTGCAGATGGGGATGGGAGCCACCCTGCCCGGTCTGGAGAAGCCTAAGGGGATGATGCTGACAGTGCTGCTGTGTCCTGTCTTGAGCAGCAGGGGTCTCTGATCCCCTGGGGAAAGGTTGTCACCATCTGTGTGATCAGCCTTCCATCTGTAGGATTTTAAAAAGTGTCAAAGACCACCATAGCACAGCCACATACACCGAGGCTGGCTAAACAACTGCAAGAGAAAAATAGCCAGGGGTGGTGAGCGCCTGTAGTCCCAGCTACTTGTGAGGGTGAAGCAAGAAGCAAGAGAATCACTTAAGCCCAAGAGTTTGAGGTTGCCATGAGCTGTGACGCCACCCACACTCTACTGAGGGCGACACAATGAGACTGTCTCAAAAAGTGTCAAAGAGCTACAGGTGGATGGTCTGAGAACACAGGCCTGAGGTCCTGGCCCTGGAGCTCTCTGCTCTGTCCCCGTCCTCAGTGGGACCATGGACTATCTGAGAACACAGGCCTGAG